TCCCTTACACGGGAGGTCTGTTAGGCGGGGGGCCACTGTACCTGCAACTTTAGAAGCAGCGGAAAATTTAGAGTGATTTTATTGTTTCTTAGTTTTGGTTTGCACTGCAGCCCACGGTAATGCGAAATAATTTTTTTTTTATTCTATAACGTTTGCCACCCTTGAAAAAAAAAATTGAAGAAACAATCTCCAAAACCTTTTTTCAGGATCACATCTGCTGATGACAGTTCATCATCACCAGACCATTTCAGTTGATGCTATGTACTTGTTCGTCATCAAAGACTTTTTTTTTACTCCTCAAGTATTAAATGCTTATTCCCCTTCAAATTATGGAGACTCTGAAGACTGTACCTTTTTTCTGATACTTGAAGAATGGAAAAAGTTTTCATTTCCATTAGGAAATTGGCATTATTGTAGCAGAATTGGAGAGGGTCTCAATTCCTCAGTTCTCACTGGGCTGGGAAACAAACACCAGCATTCGAAGAACTTCGTAGAAAATTGACCTCTCATTTCTTCAGAAGATTTCTACAGTTTCATTTGTCACCCTCGGAAACTTGAAGGAACAGTTTTCAAAATATTTCTATCTGATGATGACAGCTTATTGTCACCATCAGACCGCTTCAGTGGATGATGCTATGTATAAACAGAACTCGTTCCTTATCAAGGAAAATTTTCCTCACATCTTTTCGAATATTAAAATAAAAATGTATCACCTCATACAGTTATTAACGAAAAAATGAAATGCTTATTTTTCGAAAAGGATTCCATTCTACTGTATATCAGCATCAGCGCCTGCGGGGTGGGTCATCATGAATGGGATTATTATTCAAGTCTCCCATATAAATTTGCAGCAGCAGGGTGAATAACTGGGCCGGGTCACGTAACGGTGTCCTGAACTCCACCACGTCTGCTCAGGTCAGCCTTTATACATTCGGATGATGTTTATTCACCGTTTTCAGAGCTTATTTTTTCCCGCTTATTTTTTCGGCGTCTGAGCAGCTTATCGCTGCTGCTGCAGTAGTAAACATAACCTGGCAAGAGGTCGCAAGTTGAAAAGTTCATCCCGCGTTTCTGCTGCAGCATTCCTTTGTAGTTCATTTCGACCTTATCCTCGGGCTCGGACCATCGGCAGCAAACAGCATGAATATAGAGACGAGAATTGTTTCGACCTGTTTTGATGCTCATTTTTGCCCAAGTATCTCAAAAACTTGGCCCAGAAAGACAAAAATGCCACAAGTAGAACACTGCTGGTGGTGCATCAAACGATGCCAATTTTTTTGCCATATGAGCATAGAAAAGTGGGACCCTGAGATGGAGATGTAATTGGTGCTGCTTGGACCTTGTTGGTATGTGGGATTGTCCACATGCAGAGACTTGTTTTCCCATAGACTTCAATGCAAATACAGTGAGACCACAAGATGCAGATGTAATCGGTGCATCAAGACTGTCCCTAAGTCAAAATGTCCCAAAGTTGAGTCTCATTTTCCCTTGGACTTACATTGCATAATTTTCAATTGGTGTTTTATGTACAAAATACTCACCATCATTCCATGAAAATAAAAATTGTCTCCCAATTTCAACTGATTCCAATCAATATATTTCAACAAAATATGGGCATTTGGGGAATTGAATACTGATACTTCTGTTACGTATATAGAAATTTTGGCATTCTCTGTAAAAAATAAAATTCAAGTGAAAAAGGGAGAAGGAAAGTCTCTGGAGGTAATTTTTTTATTAGCTAAATGGATGGTAAATTGGTGAGAAAAATGCCCAAGAACTTTTCTTACATCAACTTTAGGGTTGGAATTATCTGTTTCTTGCAATTTGGCCTGAAATGTATTTGCAATTTAATAACAAAATGTCCCTATCTCAAGTCAGTTTCCTCATGTTTGGCCTTTTTTATTAATTTTTTATGATGAAATAAGTGTCCCTATGTCAAATTGTCCACACATTGAAGTGCTGCATGTGGGGGTCTCACTGTAATGTACAATATTGTCATCAAATTATTACTGTGTCCTGAAACACATGAAGAATACCAGCATATGATCCCTTTTTTCTGCGCAGAGCACAAACAGTGTCATCATCATGTCTGTTTTTTCTGTCTGGTCACCAGTCAATCCCCTTTTCAATGCAATTGTTTCCATTTATGTTGTTGCGCAGTTCACCCACCTTTTTGCAAGAGGTCTTGACTCTTGAGTCTATAAAGCCATGCATGCATACCTATAGTTACTCACTCATTGTTGGTCTGGCTTCTGTTGCATATACCAGAAATGCATTCACACTCTAAAACAGGAAGTCTTGTCTCACTTACAAATCAACCCCAGAGCCATAAGAATTGAAACTTATCATTGAAAGTGTATCCTTGGGAAGGTTACAGGAGGAACGCTTCGAGTATTGCAAAGAGACATTTTCGCAATCTTGAAAAGTTTATTTTATTGAAACCCCATAATAAGGATAACATTATATTTAATTTATTCTTGTAGTTCTAGCACTTGTAGTGTGATGCATCTTTATACTGTATTTGCAGTATTTTTGCCATGAAATAAAAATTGATTCAAAAATCGTATTGTCTTTATAAAAAGATTTTCTTTGCATAACGACCCCCCCCCCCCCATTATGGCAGGGTTCTCTGCCCCAAGTTACACGGGTTCTCTGCAACAAAATTCTCCCTACAAGGATGTTTTCTGGTCCCTTGAGTTTCTTAGTACAGTATTAGAGGAAGAGACTGGCAATAATGTAAACCGAATCGATCAGACCCTCAGTTGAGATTCCCCTTCAGAAGGTGAAATTTTCTTGCAAGGTGGACTAGGGAAAAATAAATCATTCTATTTGCGCATGGCTGCTGTATGCAGTGTGGTTGAATTCAAGAATGTCGTTCATGTCAAAATGGAAAGATTACGAACCGGAATAATTTAAAATTTACAGAAGCGCAGGCTTATGAATGGAGCTGCACGGGGCCCTTTCAATAACAACACGTCAAGTTTCCATCAAATAAAAAAAATGAAGATGTTGATCATGCCATGCTCTATGTAAATAAAATATTAACCCTCAGACGGCGGAGGGTTCATTTCCATGGTGAGGCAAAGTTGGAATATTCTCAGGGGGTGGAGCATTTCAGTTTGACCCAAGGTTGCTGAAATGCTCCCAGGTTGAAAAGGCCTATGTTGGGAAAAATCCGGGAGACAAAATCTCTTTTGTTTTCAGGAATCTTCCATGCTAATCCTATAACAGGAATGCAGGAAAAAAACGCCACCCAGTCAGGGATTTTTTTAATTTTCATCCAAAATTTTCTGCTGGATTAGAAAAAAATGTTGGAATTTTTCCCGACTCAGGCCTTTGTACAAAAGTTTCATTTCTTTAATTCCAAGTTCTCAGTGACACAAAATTTTGAAAAAATATCCCAACTTTGCTGCACAAGGGTTAAAATTATAAAACTAATAGGAAAAACATGGACAACTGAAGAATTACTTCATTTAAGTTCAAGAAATGTTGCTACATACTGCAAAGTTCCAGCATGAATACCGGTATTTACTGGAGTAAAATGTGCCCTCAAGTAAGGCATGCACAGGGGTTTTTCAGTTGGAAATTTTGCTAAAACCTTATACCTGAGTAAGACGCGCACCCCAATTTTTAGTGAATCTAAATCCACAAAATTTCAAAAATAACAACAAACAATTTGACTTTAGACATGAATTGGATCAAAAATCTGATCAATTTTCAACTATTTCAGTATAAGCAAGTTTTCTTGGTACATTTGTTTCAAATTTCTTTATTATAATTAAGTATAATGCACACATAACTTCCTAAAACTTCTTGAAAACTTTGTACCCACTTATAAAGGTGCAAGTGGTACTTGAGTAAATACGGTAATATCTTGAATCCACTCACATACCTTGTGTATTTTCTATATACAAGGAGGTGAGGATGAAAAAATTATTCTCTTTCATGTACCCTGCTGCCATGGGAAATATGATTCAAAAAAGTGCGCATATCTCTTGTCCACTAATACTGTATAACATTCTACATAAAGACAGTTTGTATACTACAGTATATATATGTTCCTGTTTGAAAAGGTGGAGATGACTCACTTGACATAGCGAAGAAGTAAATCGCTGACCGGGAAAAACTCATCAGGTGCTGAAGCCAGTTCGCAGGTCATTCTTCGCATGCAACGTTCTCCAGAAATCTGAAAAAAAAACAACACCGTACAAGAAAAAAATGTTCGACGAAGATGGGATTCGAACCCACGCGGGCAGAGCCCATTGGATTAGCAGTCCAACGCCTTAACCACTCGGCCACCTCGTCTTCTTATTATTCCGTTAGTAAAAAAATTGTTGTGACCTTGTCAATTGAAGCTGAGACATGCAGAATTTATGTTATTTTGTGATGCATCGCAGGGATTATTTTTGCGCACATTCTTGATGTGAAACTCTTAAAAAATACAGTAAGGGAGCTATCCAAACCCGGATGTATGCATAAAAGGGAAATATTTCCTCATTGACAATTCAGATATAAAAATAAGAACCCTATAGCTTTTATTCTGCTATCCATAAGAGACGAACTTGAAACGATAATTTTGATTTAGTCATCAGGACTTACCTCATAGGCCATAAAATATTCGTCTATTTTGGACAGCTGATCTTCGTGAATGGCGTCGCTTATAGACCAACTGGATCCAACAAAAGCAGATTCGTTTGCTTGTTTACTTCGTAATATTTCTTCATCATCTGTCTCTTTGTCAATTACATTTTCTTCTTTTGCCTCTTCTTCTTCTTCTCCTTCGTCATCCTCTTGGTCTTCTTCAATGTCATAATACTTGTAATCGTCGTCAAAAATATTCCTGCTTTCCCGCTGAAAATCTGCAGAAGTTGTTGTTGCTTCTCTCTCAGCACTTTGGTCATCTGCTACTGCGACATTCTCGGTCGTCGTTGTTTCCGATTCTTCGATTTTTGCATCGGTTTGCGGTTTCTTCTTTTTCTTTCTTCGCTTCTTTTTATTCTTCTTTCCCTGATGTTTCATCTTATCGGAATTGAGCTCTTTGATTTCAGGAACATTCACATCAGGACTGGTGGTATTCGAAACAGTGGAGTTTCCTTCTTTGGAAAGCTTCGTTTCGCCCTCTTTTCCGAGCGCCAAATTGGCCAAGTTCGCCAAACGTCTTCTGGAAACCAGGGTGATAACCGACATTGGGTAGTTGATGATCATTCCTAAAATAAGGAACATAACGCCATCATCAAAAACCAAAATGTGTTTAGCTTAAATTTATTTCTGCTGCAAAGCCTTGGATTTTTATAGTGAGACCCCGAGTTGCGGACGTAATTGGTGCATCAAGAGTGTCCTGGTGTTGGAATGTCCCTAAGTTGAGTCTCATTTTCCCTTACACTTCAATGCTAATGTATTTAATTGGTTCTCATTTTTTTCAAAAATTAGAAATAATTCCTTGAAAAATTGTTATACAAATGGTTTCCCTGAATTTCAATTTGTAGAAAACAACAGTGCAGAACAATAACATAGAATCTGATCTTTTGGAATCAAAAGAAGATAAAAAAGCAACAAAAAAGATTAAGTCTTGCTAGAATATGCACAGATGATGGAAAAAACTCTGAAAAAAGAAGCACAAAATCAGCTTGCTTTTGATTATGGATTACAGTGAATGAATAATGAAATGTTTATTTTTCAATTATTGTGAATATAAATAGCTTGATTTCTTCAAAACAGATCAAAATTAAAAAATTAAATGTATTGATTCTTTGGGAGAATTTCAGAAAAGTGTCCTTGATGTAAGCCAACTGGATGTCAGACCTGATTCTTTTGGTTTTCAAGTGTCTCCCAGTCAAATTGTCCAGATGTTGGGGTGCCTGTATAATTCAGTCTACATGTAATTATCTTTGATTATGTCTGTTCCATCTTTGAGGCAGCAAGAAAGAATTACAATGAAGATTTCCAATTTGTTTACATTCACAAGAAAATTTTTGGCCTTATATGATTTCTCATCAAAGATTCTCTCTATAATGTTCATTGAACTAAAACTCATACAGAAACAGGCTGAAGACCTTGTGCTTTAAATACAGTAAACTTTTACTGCTGCTTTGTCTTCAGTATTGGGGATGGGTGAGTGTATGCAACATACATGTAGGGTGTCCAGTTTTATTTTGTGGAGTGTGTTCTCTTTCATTTTTGTCATTTGTTTGTGCTTTGTTTCATGCTTTGAAATGATTGAATGTATTTGGGGGAGTTGGGTTGGGTGGGGAGAGGGTTTGGATGCGGGAGTTCTGGTTATGCCTTGTGAATGCTGAAAAGCGGCAAATAAAGTTTTCTGTTCATTCATTCATTCATTACATTTACACTTTGATGCACAGTACCTGAAGTGTTGCCTTCTTAATTGAAACTTCCAACAACAAATTTTCTTCATTACTATATAGCAGAATTCTGCATGCTTTCGCATTTTCAGTTTAAAAATTAAAAGGCTGCTCAAAATCAATAAAAACAGCTTATGATTCTGCCTACACCTAAACAAAAAACAAAATTACATAAAATGTTTTAAAAATAATAAAACTTTCATCGGACAAAAGAAAATGCTTAGAACAATCCAATGCTGAAAATTAGTACGAGAAATAAGCTTGATGACCATTCAAGACGATGTAAGTAAATTGTACAAAATGAATTTGAATGCAAAGGGCTTCTGGAAAATTCACACATGTTATTAATTCACGAATGAACAACTCACAGTACTCCGAAATTAAGTTATGCATCAACATGAATATAGCGCCCAGTCACAATCGAATATTTATATTCTCGAGATTGGAAGTTAAAATCAAAGAATCTTAAAAAAAATACATATTATGTCATTTCGTACTTACCGATGGTGATTGGGGCACCCGGAGGGATGGCAGTGAAATATCTTGCTTGCCTATCGAACCCCAGCTTTTCGTTCGGCTCTGTCAAATACTGAAGATTATCAAAACTTCGTCCCTTTTGTGACCTTTCCAGAACAACCCGGAAAACGGCGAAGACCAGCTGTACAAACCAGTACCAGTCCATATTCAAGTTCTGCTGCTGATCCTGGGGATGATTGAAAAAGTAAAAATTTAATATTTCGAAAAATTAATAACTTCGTATAGACATTTCGAGTCCCTCACCAATTTCTATGAAAAGATTTTTCTCAATATCCGTACGTGATTCGTTTTGAATCACTCCATTCTTGAAATTCTGATGCACGGAATAATTATCTCACACATGGCGGATAGCTCATAATATCAATTGAACGACACTCATGCAAAACAATTTTCTAACATCATTTCTCCTGGGAATAGATAAATTTTCATGCTTGAAATGTGTATACCGACGAAAAAATCCAAAATTACGGAATAGCAAGATCATTTTTAATCGGAATATTTCCAACAGTTCATCTATCAACGAATTCAACGTTCAGCTTTTGCCCGAGAAGCTGAAAAATTCGAAGCATATTCGCGTCGATGATTTCCCCTAAGCCATTTTTGCACCTACTGAATCGACTTTGGCACAGGCTGGAATCGCCGTTGAACCCAATTTTCGAAGCTTCGAGAAACTTATTGAATATGCTTCGTTTCCTGGCATTTTCGGTTGTTTCCAAAGTTGCTTTCGGGCTGAAAAATAAAATTTGTTCATCATTTTTATTTGCTGCTGAAAATGTGAAATGTTTATTTTATTGTTTTACCGAATTTTTCGTAGCATGATATCGCTGACTGGGTAAAATGAGTCAGGTGAAGCCGCAAGTTCGCAAATCATCCGCCGCTTACAGACCTCCGTTTTTATCTGGTGGCAGTCAAGTAATGCATCATTTAAAAAAATGGTTGAATATATTGACAAAATCTAGTTTCACCTCCATGTAGTCAAAGTAGTTGTTTAAAGTTACAAGGTTGTCCTCATGCATTAAATCCAAATCGTATTCCTCGACTAGTTCGGCATCAGACGGGTCACCGAAACTCCTCGGTGCCGAGATGTTCGCCAACGCAAAAGGAGCGACACCTGGAATATTTGATTCATCTTCCGCAGAGATTCGTTGCTCAAATGGAGTGACGATGTCTCTCTCATCATCAACATCGACATCCTGTCGTCTGCGTGAATCTTCGTCCTCTTCCGAATCCTCCGCGTCGTCTGGAGAAGTTTGAAGTCTCACCACCGGAATCAGAAACGACAACGGCACACCAAAGATTAATCCTGAAAAAGAAATGAAAACATTTTAGGAATATGCTTTCTTTTTAATGACGATTGCTCACCGAAAACGCAGAGATTTTGTGTGAACATCGGAGGCACCACGACGATTCTTCCTTGACGATGGGATCGTTCAGTAGTGCCGTCCAAAAACAATTCTTGCAGGGATACATTTTCTCCGCTTTTAAGAAATTCTTCCTGTCGTTCAAGCACGACACTTGCAATCGATAGAAATAATTCTACAGCACTGGCAAGTTTCATTATACACAAACGTTTGCCTGCAATAATATAGTGAATCATCTCTCCATATAACTGAAGCTATCCTTTCAAACAAAGAACGACGGAATGATACGAATAAAATACAATACAATGCAGCGATGTCTCGGCTTTCAGACGTACAGTAATTGATTCCGATGGAAATTGTGCTGTCCGAAAATCATGGTATAAATAATGAGTAATTTCAATTTAAACTGCAAAATATGGACAGTATATGGATTGAATAATCCGTTCCTTACAGTGCGTAATTACGGTAGCTTTTTAATACCTTTTTTGGATTGTTTCGGAAAATCATCTATATTTTTGGATCACCTTTCGTGATCGAGTGTTCGAGTGTTCTCGAATGTTTTAGAAAATACACCAGCACTCAGAAAACTTCTGCGCAACAAGAATTTATTAGAATTCCGCGAAAAACGTTTATTAACATCGCAAATTTTAAAATTTACAGTAATGTACTACAGTATATTAATAATGTATACAGTATCATTTAAATCGATTTGAATCATTCCACGACTATTTAAAGGAGCAACCAGCACTGTACTGGGACAATTCCTAATAAATTATCTTCAAATTGGTTCACATTGGGATGCTTAAGTGGAACAGCATTCTGAAACATGAAGAAAAAAAAAAGCTTTTTCAACGCATTGAAGGATTAAAATAAAATATGCTGAGCCAAATCAAATGAATTGTCTTATATTCAGATGGTAGTAATTGGCACTCAAATTTTCATTATGAATAACTTTTGCTCTGCCGCTTTAATATATTCGTCAATTATTACACAAATCCTGGAAACGAAATTAAATTGGCGACATTGAAAATTTGTTGTGCAAAAGATAACTGTCATTCGACGCGTTTGTCAACCAAGGTACCACTGTACTGCAGAACGAATAAAAAATTCGAGAGTCCGTGTGGACCATCATCTCCAGTTTGATTTCATAATATACGAAATTGACCGAGGAATTTTCCACGTCACTATTCTTTTTTTTTTTAGGATGGGCAATTTATGTTTTATTTTAGGCATTCTCAAAATCGCGGGGTAGTCGCAGATTTTTTCTGAAAAAAAAAACTTACTGAACTTGAAAATTCAATTTTAAATTCCACAATGATAAAGTGCAAGGCGTGGTTTTCGCATGATTGAATTAACCTGAAAAAGATTTGGCAGAACCAGAAGGTTTACATTTCCTTATTTTAAACCTTGAAGCTCAACAGAAAATAAATAAATCAAACGTGTCTTCCTATTTCGCTTGAATACAATTGTCACGCTACATTTTAAGAAAAAATACAATTTGGTCTCATATACAGATGTGATGAAAAGAAAAATAAAGCAGTATTACTAATTTTTGTTAAAGGATTTGCAATTTTGGAGTCAATATAAATTTTCTGACCAGCGATCCAGTACATCGACCGAGGAAAAAAATTTGAGCAGTAATATACTGTATTCCTTAAGAATTTTTTTCGTGGTAATTTATTCTATCGCATTAAAAAAATGTTATTTTTAGCTTGAAACTTCGCAGACGACTTTGCAGAGTCGGCAGCACGCGAACTGGCAATCCACAATAACATGAAACAATATGCCCACTCAAATTGTATTTTCTGAAAAAAAAATTAAATGACTTTTCCTGATTTCCATGAACGACTGACATTTGAAATAATTTCAATTTTTCGAATATTGTGAACTGCAATTCTAAAGAAAAAATTAGCGAAAGGGTCAGTCTGTATCAAGAAATGCCAGTCTGAGATTTTTTCCCAAAAGCTGCCAAATTTTTAGCAGGTCGGCGTCGAAGACATCATGGCTGCTGTATTTGCATTTGTGCCGATGTCCGCAAATCTTCGGATCTCCGTTGAAGCCCAGTTTCGCAGCCTCGAGGAACCTGTAAAATCTGTTCCTCCTCTTTGTTCGTTTCACAGGGGTTTTTGGTCTAAATGGGTTCGAGAACGTAATTGATGATGAGGACCCTTCATATTACTGATTATATTCTGGAAATCTTACTTGATCTGTCTCAAGAAGATGTCGCTAACTGGAAAATAAGCCTCGGGCTCCGCAGCAAGTTCGCAAATTATGCGGCGCATGCAAACGTCGTCAATAACCTTGAAAGAAAAAAGTTTGCCAACATTTTTGCGCACCAATTACAAAAAGGAATTTACCAAGATATGCTGAAGCATCTCTTCCAAATTGAGCAATTTAGCTTTTATGCAAGCTACGGTATATTTAGAAAATCCAATCTACTGTGCTATAATAATTTAAAATAGCTACAGTATTAAGTTTTTACCGCGCACTTCAAATAATACATTTCGAAATATTTTTTCGAACTTCTTGTGATTCATTGGAAAATCTCATTCACAGCATTCATAAAACTGTGGATTGCTTTTCACTCTTTCTGAAGAAATCGAAACTTTTAATAATCTTTCACATCGTGATTTCCAAATTTTCTATATATGTATCAGCAGTGCCGAGAAAAATGCCAAATCTTTGGCATTCTTTATTTTTCAAAATTTGTTGTTAGAAAGCCTAATTTATTTTGTAACTGATGCACGAAACGTTCAATCTCTTGCTAATTTATGCGCCATATTGTAATACTTACAGTTAGTTAACTTTTCAAAAATAAGTTTGAAATTTTAACTGTGAAATTAATGACATCCGCTCGATAAATGCAAGGTTAAAGCCATGAATATGTTTTTCGAATTTATGATAAAAATGGGCGTGGCATTGAATGTTCAATTATTTTTCACGAACACAACGACTTTTTCATCTGCCGGTTCTATAGGAATTTTTCGGGTTTTTCATTTTCTTATTCATTTACCAATGCATCATTGCACTGCTAAGAAAGCGAATATTTTATGTTGTAATGTTAAACTTGGGAATAAGAAATATTCTGAAGGGCCTCCGATGATAATTACGAGTCGAAGTGAAACACTTGGCTCTATATAGGAAAGATTTTTCTTTTCCAAAAAAAACCCCTTGCAGAATTTCCACTCAAATCTTACCAAACAAATTTGAAAGGAAATACGAATTTTCAAATAAAATACAGTACCTGGTAGTAAGAAAAAAAATTTTCTAGCTTTTCCAGCTGGTCCTCGTGTATCGTGTCCGTGTCAACCAGCCACTCCTTTCCTCCTCCGACAGTAGAACCCAAAGATCTGCCTTGGGATTCTTCTTTCCCTGCTGAACCCGGGTCCTCTTCATCGTCATAGTAATACTCATAATCGGGGTCTGTCGTTGTCGGAATCATCGTCGTCGTGACTTCGTCATCACCGACGTTCGCATCCATCGCAGACTCATTTTGCGACGCGGTTTCTTTTGCCTCGACTTTGCCTTCTTTGCCCAGGTTTATGTTCTGCAGGTTCGCTAAACGTTGTCTTGACCATCCGCCCAAAAAGGAGAAGGGGAACAGGAAAATCATGCCTGCGTGTCGAAAAAAAAATTAAAAGAAAAATGTATCATTAAAAATGCCTAGTTAGCACAAATTTAAATTAGAGTTCATGAAATCTTTCAAAATGATATGATCTTGAAAAAATCTCTCGGGAGATTTCTCACAAGATTCCGTGAGATTCATTGGACATTAGTGTACTTTTATTTCTGTGGAAGTCTCGAATATTCTTCATTATTTTCCTGAATTTTCTCTCGTCAGGCGTCAATAAAGCTACGAAAATCACTTTCATGTTTTTGTCTATTTTCCAGCAGAATATGCTCCAGCTTTGTGTAATGCAGTATGAAACCCAATCGTAATTTCTTCATGTACTTTTCCGTCTTCTCGAGAAGGTCTCCATCATTCTTTCCCTACTCGCAAAAACATCGGATTTCAAAAAAATATTATAATATCCAGGTGAACTCAAATCGATGCACCGAAGCTATTTATGGGTCTCGGACTCTCGAGGGATTTATATTGCAGTTGTATCTAATTTTGAACTTCATTGTCATTTCATTTGAGGCAAGACATGATTATTAGATAAACGAACGTCGAACAGCGACTTTATTTTAATGTGCTTGTACTTGAAAAGGTCTTACAAAGATAATTTCTCGTGTGAAATTCCCCATGATGGCAATGCACAGTTTCAACTTATTTTTAATTCGACTGTTTAAAACTTGAAAAATCCAATCATCTCAACTTTATTTAACCGTGAATTTTATTATAGTATCTGAGCCTTCAGAATTTCAAATTTTATCACTGGCAAGTGGCAACAAAGCGGTCCATAATAAATAATCTCAGTTTCTCACATAATTTTACCGAAAGAGACTCCAATCAAAACTGAAATTTGTGTACAACACAGAACATTAGGATTTCACATATAAACCTCAAAATATGAGGGAAATAATATCCTCACAGGATTTCATGATGAGAAGCAAATCACCAGGCATGAATACTTTTAGAAGGAAAGTTCATAAGTGGCACTTGTATAAGAGTCGCTTCTCAAAATATGATTCAAAATTGGGCACTCCCCTATTAAAAAGTAGTGTATTTCTTCATTTTTTTCATTTTCCATTGCTAAATTTCCACATAAAGTTTAATGTTCCTACCTGTACTGTAAATTCATTATCCTGGATAATGATTCAAAATTGGGCACTCCCCTATTAAAAATTAGTGTATTTCTTCAGTTTTCATTTTCCATTGCTAAATTTCCACATAAAGTTTAATGTTACTACCTGTACTGTATATTCATTATCCTGGATATTTGAGGTTTCATGGTTTCATTTGTTAATGGATTCCCTGCAGAAGCACGCAGATACTGTACTTTATTGATTGATTGGTGAACAACCTTCATTTTCTGATTTTCAGCATTCACAAGGTTCAAACAATATGTTGACACATCCAAACCCCCTTCCCTCCTCACCCACATTCATCCATCAAACACATTCCATCACATCATGATGAAAATAGAGAAATACACTGTTTATATACAGGTATTAAAGAAAAGAAAAATACATCACAGAATGTAAAAATGCACAACTGATATAAATGCATACACTTTGCTCCCCTCATTGTGGGAATACTGTACTTTGTTGAAGTTCTTAATGAATAACCAAGTATAAATGGAATACTGTACTCACCTATGGTTATGGGAGCACCAGGAGGAACTGCTGCAAATCTTGCTTGCCTATGGCTGTCAAACGGAGTTTCAGTCTTGGAGTTGAAGAGATACACGCCTGATCCTTAATGATTCAAAATTGGGCACTCCCCTATTAAAAAGTAGTGTATTTCTTCATTTTTTTCATTTTCCATTGCTAAATTTCCACATAAAGTTTAATGTTCCTACCTGTACTGTAAATTCATTATCCTGGATTTATATTTGAGGTTTCATTATTGGAATCCCTGCAGAAGCATACAGATACTGTACTTTTTAAAGTTATTTTGATTGATTGATTGATGAACAACCTTAATTTTCTGCTTTTCAGCATTTACAAGGCTCAAACAATATGTTTACACATCCAAACCCCCTCCCCCTCCCCACCCACATTCATCCAAACACATTCCATCACATCATGATGAAAATGAAAAAATACTACTATTTATACTGGTATTAAAGAACAGGAAAATACATAAAAAAATGTGCAAATGCACAACTGATATAAATGCATATACACTTTGTTCCCCTCACCTTGGGGATCCTGTAGTTCTTAATGAATAACCAAGCATAAATGGAATACTGTACTCACCTATGGTTATGGGAGCACCAGGAGGAACTGCTGCAAATCTTGCTTGCCTATGGCTGTCAAACGGAGTTTCAGTCTTGGAGTTGAAGAGATACACGCCTGATCCTTAATAAATGGAATACTGTACTCACCTATGGTTATGGGAGCACCAGGAGGAACTGCTGCAAATCTTGCTTGCCTATGGCTGTCAAACGGAGTTTCAGTCTTGGAGTTGAAGAGATACACGCCTGATCCTTCGTACCAGAAAAGATTCGTCACGGCAAGAAATAATTGCACTGTCCACGCAATATCCATTGTGCACTGATCACTGATACACTGAAGGGAAATTGCAAGAATCATTGACTATCATGCGACAACCTGAACGCAGGCAGAAATTGATTTAATGCAAATATTGTCACCCCCGCCCCCACCCGTTATTTGGCACCTCCCAAATTATCACGGTGGAAACGTGTCATGGTGTATTTAAGGCACTTCCTTTATAGGGAGACAATGAAAGACGTCTACCTCTGGCGTTAAATCACGGTCGGCTTAATAGTTATTTTTTAGGAACAGTACCTAAAAGAAAAAGGCCCAGAATTAAAGAAATTTACAAATTCATTAGGTTATGATGCAGTTGAACCTCAACAGGGCCGGCCCAAGCCTTCATGGCACCCATGTGCAAACCCTCACTTGGCGCCCCTATGCATGAAAAACTTCAATCAGACAATATACAGTCAAACACCAGTTTATGGACATTGAGTTACAAATTCTCAGTTTAAGTACTGGCTCTGTTTTGGGGAACTTGCACCTGCTTATGGACTGTAAACTGGCTTATGGACTGTGGTCCATTTTGCTAACTTTGAAAAATTGTTAAAAATTCAATTTTCCACTAATTTTAGAATTGTCTACAGCTTTGCATGCACAAAGATGTTTTCTAAATTTCCTTTTTTAAACATGCAAAAATCTGAACATTTGACAGAATTACAACCAAACATTTGAAATTTTTTTTGAAAATTGTACTGAAATCATCAAAAATTTTCTTACTTTTTTGAATTTCAACCGTTTCAATTTGTAACATTTTTCAACAAAAAGAAAGAAGCTTGTAAAACATCACTGTGCATGACACCCTGTAAATAATTTTCAAGTTTCATCAAAAGCAAATAAATT